ATTTAGCTCCTGCCCAAAAGGGGAAATGCCAAGGAATGGAAGAATTGCCTTTCAGCCCATCTTGGAAGGAGCTGTTCTTGGTCCTGAACAAGATATCCACCCCAACCCCGCCCTTCCTTCTCCCTGTTGTTCTGGATGCTGTAAGTTGCTGATCTGACTATCCTCGTAGTGAGAAGGAAGCAGGGAGGCAGGCTTAAACTGTAGCTCTGGATCTCAGAGACCTCCCCTGGTCTCTGTGGATTTGGAGAAGAGGTGGAGTAGAAAACTCTTTTACTCATGCTTTACAGAGGCTTAATGGGAGGAGTAGCCTCAGAGACACCCTTAGTTCAGGCCATCACTCATTGACTGATTCTTCCCAAATGCCTGGTCTCATTTTAGGAGCCTGGGGCATAAAGGTGAGTGAGAAACCGTTCCTGCCTTTGGTTGATCAGTTCAGTTTCGGGGAAGACATTAATATGGAGACACACATTCATAACTTGTTCTGAAAAGAGCTAATGCATCTGAGGACCACAGGAGAGGGCCTTCTAGTATATATTGGAGGCTAAGAAAGTGCTTCCCATTGAAAGTAGGGGCATGAACAGATACCGGTACATTTGTGTTCGTAGCAGTATTATTCACAATAGCCAATAAATGAGAGCAACCCAAGTGCACATGGATGGAAGAAGGAATAAACAAAATGTGGTGTATATATATATATATATATATATAGACTGGAACATTAGTCATCCTTGAAAGGGAAGGAAATTCTGACATGTGCTACAACATAGATGAACCTTGAAGACGCGCTAAGTGAAATAAGCCAGTCACAAAAAAGACAAATACTGTGTGATGCTCTTATATGAGGTACCTAGAAGAGACAAATTCATAAAGAAATAAAGTAGGGTGGTAGCTGCCAGGGGCTAGGGGAAAGGAGAATTGAGATTTAGTGTTTAATGGGTATAGAGCTTCCATTTTTCAAGATGGAAAGAGCTCTGGAGACAAATGGTTATGATGGTTGCACAACAAGGTGAATGTACTTAATGACAGAGAACTGTACACTTCTCTTGGTTACAATGGTAAATTTTATGTTATGTATATTTTACCACAATTAAAATTAATATATCTTTTATATCCAACCTTAAGATATTTTTGTGACTACTTCCACATCTTTATCCTTGATCGTACAAACAGCTAGAAACCAAAAGTACATTGACTCCGGAGGAACTTGACCCAAACCGTCCTTTCTGAGAAGAGATTGCCTTTTCTCACAATGAATTCCATTAATTTTTAAAGTTTTAAATCAAAATCCACAGTATTTTAAAAATATTTAAGCCTCTCTTTTCTCTAGTCACACAGAATTTGTTCCCTCTTCTGATAAAGCAGTATGGTGTGATGGAATTACCTCTGGAACCATGGTAGGGGATTGGCCAATGTTGGTTAATCATTTACCCTCCAAATGAGGTTAGAAGAATGTTCTGGAGACTTGGAGCTTGACAGACTTGATATTCAGCTCTTGACCCAAATCTCAATAGCTGTAGGACCCTCACAATCTACTCTCTTTCTGAACCTCCCTATAAAACGGGATAACCCTTCCTTCCTCTCGGGGTTATTAAGAGGATAAAATTAGTTAATGCAGGTAAGTCTTTCAGCTCAGTTTAAATTAAATTCTCCCCACATGGAAGCAATATTATTATTCCAATGAGACCGATATAAAGCCAAGACATCTTTTGGAAAATTACATTAGCAAATAGGTGTCACACATCCAGCATGGTAATTGACACTTCGTAGAAACTCAGTACATACTAGTTCATCCCCATCTCAGCGTAATGATAATGGCTCAGTGTGCTGCTATAATATTCTTCACACTAAATTATAATTTTTTAATCTTATGTGTCCTCAACTAAATAGAGTTATTGCTGAAGAGGAAACTTGTCTTTTATTTATGTATCCACGGAGGCAAGCACAGGGCTGGATCCATAGTGAATACTCTGGGAATGTTTGATGATTGGAGGGGGCTCTGCTTCCCACTTCCTAGAAAGTCCTCAATCTCATAGAAAATAGCCTGAACTTTGTGAGGCTTTCTCATGATACATAAGGGGTGGGGGAAATTGGAGGGAAGAATAGGGATCTGGGAGGGTAGTGGCCTGGAACCAAGTGTCTCAAAGGTTTTGGGGAAGTCTTGTCTTCTTTGGTTGTTGGAAGGTGTGAGCCAGGGACCAGGGCTCTGAAGTCAGGGTTTACAAGGCCATAAGGTTCTCAAAGTCAGGAGTCATTGTTTTCAAGTAGAACCTGAAACAATGGTTAGAAGGACAAAAAAACCCCAAGGATATCTTCTAGAGAAGAGTGCTGGAAAGTTGACCTTGGCAACCCCTGAGTCCAGGCCAGAGAACTGTAGTGTCAGGCAGGAAACTGAGGCTGGTACTGTATAATTTTAAGTCCTTTGGTTGATAAAAATAGAAGCTAACACTGTGTTACTTAAGCCAATAAAGAAAGTTGTTGGAGACTATGGATTGTTGGACCATATATTGCCAGGATCATGGACCAGGGAAGTTTTGGTAAACCATAAGCCTAAAAGTACCAGGCCCACCACAGAGAAAAATCAGCTCCATTTCAGTCCTTGCTTCACTCAGTAATCCAGTTCTAGGGAGGAAGTGCTGGATTGGCTTAGTTTGAGGATTAATACCCACCACATGGGAAGAGAGTGGAGAATGCAGGGAATAGGCTGGATGTAGCTTCCCAAAGACAAATCCAGGTGCAGTTACCTGAAGAAGGGGGAATGAGTGCTGGGCAGGAAAAACAACAGACATCCATGAGAGACGCCCTGTGGTTGAGGAAAGCTATGGCTTAGTGGATACCTGGAGGCTCAGTATTTCACCTCTTCTTCTCCCTAGTTGTACTGGACACTGGGTTGATGGCTAGATGACCACTTCTATAGTCCAAGTGATATATTCCAAGAACTGAGGATCCTAGTCTTGGTCATAACTGTCTCACTGAAGTAGAGTGAGCAGATTTCAGTGGTGAAGACCTCGGAGTTTCAATATAGGAAAGACAGAGTTTGGTTAGATTATAGACCATCTTCCTTTTAGTATCTGTATTTGGATTGTTGCGTTGGTCTTCTTTGTCCCCTCCTTTCCAATGAGGTACACGCTAGGCCAGTAGATCTCCAACTCTACATTGGAGTCATGTGGGGCACTTTTTCTGAACACACATCCCTGGACTCTGTTCTCAGCATTTCTGATTTGGTAGACCAGGGGTGGGGCCCAGGCATCGTCATGCTTCACGACCACTCCAGGTGTTTTTGAACCTCATCTCAAGAAAATGCTGCACACTCCTGAAAGCTCATGGGGATACAGACAATGCCGTCTTATCCAGCACAGCATCCTGAGGGTCTAGAGAAGTGCCTGACACGTAGTTTGTGTTCAATCCACAGTTGTTGTTTGATGCTAATTGAGGAGAAATCACCTAGGAGAGGTGGAAACTTGGCAGACCTGGTTTTATTACGAAGCACAGAAATCCATTCAGCCATGTGCCGTAGTTGTGTTTTTATACTGATTGTCTCATTAGATCTCTGTGATAATCCTGGGTGGTGGCAGGTGGATCAGGGGCTATTCCTCACACCCATTCCTGTTCATAAAGGGTGAAATTGAGCCTCACATGTGAAGAGAGTTGTCCAACAGCCCACATGGAGGGCTGTGGTTCCACACCTGCAATCTAAGTCTTCAAATGCCAAACCCAGCCTCCTGGGAATACTGTTGACTGTTTCTTCCTGAAGACAGACTCTTGTGGTTTTTAATCTGTGAGAATAACTATGGGAATAATGAATGGAGACTGTTAACTGAGCATCTACTGTGTTCCAAGCACTGTGCTGGATGCTTACACACATCCCTCCATTTTATGTTAACACTCATTGTGGGGGGAATGGTTACTAGTCCCACTGCACAGAGGAAAGCTGAGGCTCAGGAAAGTCAAGTCAAGTACCAGTTTGTGCAACCAAGGAAATAAAGATGACAATTCAAACCCATGTCTGTCTTCTAGAAAAAAACAGATCCTTTTAAAGGTAGTTTATAAGCTGAAGAGAAGGAACTTCTCCTCTGACACATTTACCCATATTTAAAAAATATATTCTTAAGAGCTTGAGAGAGGAAATAAACTAACTCATGTATCAGGCTAGTTATTAGAGAAGAAATCAGTAAATCATATCACTGAAAGAGACAGAACACCAACCCAAACCAGCTTAAGTAAAAAGCGAATTTAGTGGTTCACATAAGAGGACTTCCCAAGGGTGGAACAAACTTCAGGCATGGCTGGATCCAGAAACTCAACAAAGTTATTAGAACTACATCTTTTCCCTCCCCACCATTGGTTCTGATTTTCTCTGCACTGACTCCATTACCAAGCAGGAACTCCCCTGTTAAAGACCAGATAGTTGCTGGCATCTACAAGCTTACATCTTCACAGCTCCAAGTCTATTGACAAAGAGAAATTTGAACAAAAATCTCAATGTCTGGCATTCTGAAGTAGATGCTAATGTCTCAAATTCCTCACTCCTCCCCATATTTATGTCGTTTGTCACATAACTTCACTGTTCCTCCCACAAGTAGACAGAATGTACTTCCTTGTCCCATGACTTTGGATTTGGCCATATGATTTGCATTGGCCAAAGGCATATTATTGGATATGTGACCAAAGCTTTGAAAATCCATCACACAATTGGTCCATCTACCTCAGCTATTGTAATGAGAAAAATCACTCCAGAGCTAGTCCTCTGGACCCAGGAGGACATATGGACCAGAGTGTCCTCCAGCTAAGCTGAGCTTGCATCAGTCAATACTCATTTGCATGAGCAAACCTAGCCAAGATCAGAAGAAGCACCCAGAGGACCCCAGCCTAGATTAGCTAACTCTCAGCTGACTAAAGATCCACAAGAATAAATAACATATTTCAAGACGCTACATTTTAGGCTGATTTTTACACAACATTGTTGTGGCAATTGCTGACTGACACACATTAATTGACTCAAATTAGGTACATTTGTCCACCACTACCAAATAATTGTACTCAGGGACTGTGTGCTTGGTCACGTGACTTTTCTTGGACAGAAAGGTGAAATTAGCACCACCATGACCGAAAGAGGAAAAACTATGATAACCTGGAAAAAAATCAGAGAGCTGCACCACATATTTGCACATATATTCCTGGCAAAAACAGACACTAACAATTCCTGACTCTGAAAAGTGGTCCTGAAGAGGTCATTCATGGCATCCAGAGCCCTGGTAACTGCAGCACAGACGCCCCAGGGCAGCCTTCACTTCCTTGTTCCGAAGGCTGTAGACGAGGGGATTGAGCATGGGGGTCACCAGGGTGTAGGAGAGGGACACCACCTGCTTGCTCTCTGGGGAGCAGCTGGCCTTGGGTCGCAAGTGGATGACCCCTGTTGTGCCATAAAACAGAACCACCACAATGAGGTGGGAGGCGCATGTGGACAGGGCCTTGTGGCGCCCAGTGGCTGATGGCATCTGGAGGACAGTGGCTAAGACTCCAATGTAGGACACGGCTATCAGACAGAAGGGAACCATGATGACCAGCACTGTGGCCGCCAACACGTTGGCCTCCAAGACCCTGGTGTCCGCACACACCAGGCTCAGCAGAGGGGCGATGTCACAGAAGAAGTGGCGGATGCCACGTGGTCCACAGAAGGGGAAGTGGAACAGCCAGACTGTGAAGACCAGTGACACAGGGACTCCAGCCAGCCAGCACGTGGCAGCCAGCAGGTGGCAGAGTCGTGGGCTCATGATGGCGCCATAGCGCAGGGGCCTGCAGATGGCCACGTAGCGGTCCCAGGCCATGGCGGTCAGGAGGAAGCACTCGGAAGTGACACAGGACAGCACCAGGAGCAGCTGCAGGGCGCAGCCCGCAGGTGACACTCCCCGCCCGGGCCGCAGCAGGGTCACCAGCAGCCGGGGCACGATGTCCAGCGAGAAGCAGATCTCCACCAGGGCCAAATGGCGCAGGAAGAAGTACATGGGCGCGCGCAGGGCCGGGTCCAGGGCGGTCAGCAGCACGATGAGCGCGTTGCCCAGCAGCGTGAGCAGGAACATGGCCAGGAAGAGCGCAGCCAGCAGCGGCCGCAGCGCCGGCACGTGCGCGAAGCCCAGAAGGAAGAACTCGCGGCCCGAGCTCTGGTTGGCCCAGGGCGGGGCTGCGGGGGCGCCGGGGGAGCCCAAGGCCACCGGCATGGACCCAGGTGGGGCGTGGGGACCGCACCCAGGGAGGCACAGAGCCTGGGGGAGAGGAAGACGTAAGGAGAAGGGTAAAGAGGAGAATAGCACCTGCCTCACCTCTGTCCCCAACAGAGGGGGGACAGAGCAGCAGACCTATCCTATTAAAACACAAATCAGATCACACCACATGTGGGACCCTCCTTGCATGCCCAGTGAACGTGGAATGAGATTCAACACCCTTACCAAAGTCCACGAGGCCCTGGCTGGCCTACCCCGCCCACCCCTGTGACCTCATCTCCACTGAGCTCCATGCACAATGGCTTGTCCTGCCCCAGGGCCTTTGCACTGGCCATTCCCTCCCCTTGAAATGCTCTTTCCTTGGATATTTATATCACTCTTTCTCTTTTACAGGGTCCTGCCTGGACTGACTACCTCTTCATCCTCATCTCCTTCTGATCTTCTCGCAAAGTCCATCTTCAAAGACCTCATTTTCCATATCTACCATTTTTCTCTCACCTCTCACTTTGCGCTTGCACACTTCTGTTCCCCCTAAGCTGTTGGTGTTGCTGGACCTTTCTCATCCTCCAGGTCTCAATTCAAATATTTCCTTTTCAGGATCCCCTCCCCTCATTACTAGAAAGAATATGACCTGCCATGCCCTCCACTGTCTGCACAGTCTGGAATTCAGTTGAATTTAGTTTTTGGTCAGTAAAGGCTATTTCCTCCTATAGACTGTGAACACCATGGGAGTAGACACCTTTCCGTCTAATGCCCAGCATGATTTATTCTGCATTATGTGGCGCTATAACTTCTCTCTTACAGGAGTTTTTGTGAAGAATAAATGAAATAATACAAGGAAGTCCTTGGCACTAGGGCTGGCCCATAGTAAGTGTTCGGTAAGTGGTGGTGAACACGTCCATGGGGATCAGAGTTTGTTAAATGAGTTCGAAACTCTCATCATGTCATTTCTATTCTCCTATTACATGTCAGATGAAGCTTAAATATGCTGTCTTGGCTTTCAGGCCCTCCTGAATGTAGGTGTGGACCCCATTTTCACTCATTTATTTTAGCCAGAGTGTATTTACTACCCCAGGCACTGAGCTGAGATTTGAGGATGAACAGGAAAATCAGGCCTGTTTCCTGACCTCAGGATGCCTTGGGGAAATAGAGGGATGCCTTCCTCAGAAGGAGGACATGAAGGCGTTTCTAGAATGACATCCCAACCCCTGGTCCCATGTCTGGCTCTCTTAGATGCTCCATCAACACTTATTGCATGCATTAACCTCTGTCTTGCTCATGATTTTATCCCCAACACAATGCCTGGACCATGGTCGGTGCTGAATAAATATTTATCAAATGGCTGAACATCTGTCTCATACGTAGTTCCATTCTCCAGGGCGTAGATCAGTGTCCAGCACACACAGTAGCAGCTCAAGAATATTTCATGAATAGCCAAGGAGAGGATCTCTTCTCATTCCTCACTGCTCCCCTCCATTTAAACACAGTCTTCTCATAATTTCCCCATCTTCACTCACTGCTCACGCTAGCTGTACCCACTCTTCTCCACATTGCCCCCAAATCATGCCAATCTCAGATCATGTGGTATCTGACTATAAAGCACAGTAATGACAGCTGGAGTCAAGAATTAAGTGTTGAAGCTCTATGTCTGCCATTTATTAACACTGCAAAGCCAGCAAGATGACTATTTTCCTTCAAGCTTCAACTTCTCATCTATGAGTGGGTTTTATAGTAAAACAACAACAACAACAACAAGCCTATGTCTCAGGATGGCTGATAAAGAAAATTAAGTCCAGAGAATGTAAGTGTCTTATTCAAAGTCAGGGGGAACCAGCACTTTTAAATTGAATAACTTTCCAAGAGTCACACAACTGGTAAATAGTAGACCAGAGGTTCACACTCAGGCCCTCCCATCTACCAGGTTCATATTCTCACTTCTCAAAGTTGGGGAGGTGATGACAAACCACACCAGACATCTATCAGTGGTCTTACACTGTACTGTCTCCATGGCAACCACCCTGGTTTAGGCTATGAACATCTCTCACGTGAAGGATGTCATAGGCTCATAAATGGTTTCTCTGTTTCTGCTCTTGGTGGCCCCAACCCGTTCCCCATCAGAGCGATGTGAGTGGATGCATTGTGGAAAACGACCAGGGGACTGTATTTCTCCTGAGAATCATAGAACACAGTCCCTGCATCCCAGACTGGAGACTCTGTATCAGTCTCCTGGTGGACATATTTTGGATTCCTCTTCTGGTACCTGAACCAGCATGGGTCGCCATCACCTCTCCAGGGACCCCAACTGCCTCCATTCTTCTGAAAATTTCTCCCTAGTCTTATTTATTCATCTGATAGTGATTGAGTGTCTCTTCTGGTCCCAGCACTGTGCTAGGTAACTAGGCTTCTCTGCAGAAGACAGGCTGTCAGGGGGTGAGAGTGGACCCAGGAGGAGCTTTCAGGAGGCTACAGCAATAGCCCTGGTGAGGGATGAGAGTGACTGAGACTATAGTGGTAGGCGTCTAGATGAGGAGATGCGGACAATTTCAGGATGAAATTTGGAGGTTGAGTCAATAGCATTCCTGATGCATTGGATATGAAGGATGGAGGACAGGGATAAATGAAGGGTAACTCCTGGGGGTTTGGCCAGAGCAGCAGGATAATGTCATTTACTGAGATGGAAAGACCTGGAGATGATCATCTTTGGGGTTTGGGTGAGGAAGATGAGGGTTCAGCTTGGGACATGAGTGTGAGTTCTGTGAGACTCCCCAGTTGGGTGTAACAGAGACTGTTGGACTCACAGGTCTAGGGTTCAGCTGAGAGCTCAGGATGGAGATAAACATTTGGGCATCGTCAGCATAGAGAGATTTTTCAACATCATGGATTGGATGAGCTTACTCAGAGAGACGGTGTTGACTTAACTTCTCCAAACTTCCATCTCTGCCTGTGTGAAAGGGGGAGGGTGTAAGAACCACTGGCCTTAACTGGGTGCTCACTACAACTGTATGTAGTTCTCTTATTGTCATTCTCATTTCCTGTTTGAGGAAACTGAGGGTCAGAGAAATTATGTAACTTTTCCCAAGTAAATGGCAAAGTGAGGATCTGAACCCAGAGTGTCCAGCTCCAGGATAAGCTCTGTCCTATGCAGGCTCTAGACACAGCAGGTAATAAATAACTAATTTACAAGTGAATACATTAGTTCCCTCCCATACCCCTGTCTTATTTACCCAAACCACCCAGAACACTCCCTTACTTGCCTCTCTCAGTCCTGGTGGACAAAGTCATCCATGACCATTCGCATTTGCACTTACCCAGTGAGAATTATGTCCTCAACTCCCTTTGAACTGTGGGATCATAAGCAAAGTTCAGACAGAGGTGGGTTCAAATCTGGCCTCCATCCTTTCCTGACCAGGTGATCATGGGCACGGACATTTGCCTCTCTGAATTTCCATTCCCTAGTAAAAAAAACTGGGGGAAAATTTTTTTAAAAAAAGACCTGATCCACAGGGTTATGAGAATCCAGTGATGTCAGACTCCAAACAATACTCAGCACCCAGAGGAAATGCCAGCTTGGAAAAACACACCACTGGGAAGTGGAGAGAGAATAGAGGAGGGTTGTGGCTAAGAGGGAAGTTAGTTTTACCATAAAATTTTAATTTTTTTCAAGGAAAATGTGTTCATACACTCTTACTATACTACTCAGTTTCATCTCCTGTAAAATGGGGTCAATAATGGTAACTTCTAAATGATGGTGATTAAAAGAGTTAACCCAGACTAATCAATAGAACAGGAGTTGGCATCTAGTAACAGCTCAATGACAGTCATTGTTATTACTAACTATCAAAAGTAAACAATCAGACACCCTTTATTAGCTGTGTGACCTTGGGACAGTTTTGTCCCCTCTCTGAGCCTCTGTTTACACATAAGTTAATTGGAGCTAAGAAGACCTAACCTGCCATGTTGTAAAGGAAAAATATAGTATCTGGGGATATCTGGGCACATCTCAGACATGGTTCCTATTTTGTTCTCAACACCGGGAAATCAGTGAGAGGCATGGAGCCCGCTCTATGGCTTTTCATGTGCAAAGGTGCCGAGGCCGATAACTCGCTAAACATTTGATGGGCTTTGAGCTACACTCCCTAGAGTATGGATAGGGTCATCAAGTTGTAAAATCTTTGGTTTCTTTGAGTGACCTCACCCACTTCCCTTCTGTGATTCTGGAGCCATGGCTATGACAATATCCCCCACCAAGTAGTTGTCAATCTTTTGCTTGCATATCTCTCAGCATGGGAAGTTTATCATCTCCCATGACAGTCCCTCTACCCCAACACTTTAAGAATGGTTACAACAATCTTTCCACTAGCATTCACATACATAGTTTGCAGAGAATAAACTGGAACAAATTCTTTGGAGGGTATAGAGGCAATATCAGCCCACACTAACACTCAGGAATTCCCGTGGCCCTGCAAGGCGACTTCTAGGAATTTATCCTGCTAATAGGTTTGCATGTGCACACAAAGGTCTGTGTGTGAGGTTAGTTGTGGCAGAGAATTGTTTCTAAGACTAGAATATTGGAAGGAACCCAATGTCCATGGTAGGGGACTGGGGAAATGCATTACAGTGTAGTCTCACAATGGAAAACTCTACAGCTCCTCAGTAGTTGCACAGGCAGCAATGGTATTAATACATGAGAAGCAGGTGCAGAACACTGTGGAGAGTATGCTATAATTTCCATGAATGGCAGATGAGATTATATACAATATAATACAGAAATATATATACTTTATGCTTAATAATATAGAAATATATGTACATATTTGTATATGCAATGTATTCAATGGATTTTCTGGAAAGACACATAAGATTCTGCCCATAGTGGTTTCCTCAGGTGAGTTTCACTGGGGTGAGTGAGGCAAGAGACATGTGTCATCATATATTCTTGGAACATTTTTAATTTTGTCCATGGCATGTATTCTGCTTCTAAAATTTTTGCTTCTGAAAAATTCTAGACAGTGAAGAAAGAATTAAAGACCTTCAGAAACAAACACACTTGCTGTAAAAATAT